TTGCGGAGGAAAGGAGGAAGACAGCTCAGAAAGAGAAGAAGTCTACAGCCATACCACCCTGAATGCGCCTGATCCTGGCTGATCTCAGAAGCTAAGCAGGGCTGGGCCTGGTTAGTACTTGGATGGGAGAAAGAAAGGTGAAGGGAGGAATACGGCAGGGAGCATTTCAGCTGGCTTAAAAGGGTGAAGTGGGCTGGGTGTGGGGGTTCACGCCTGTAATCCCAGCACTTTGGGAGGCTGAGGTGGGCGTATCAGGAGGTCAGGAGATGGAGACTATCCTGGCTAACATGGTGAAACCGTGTTAATTTTTGTCTCTACTAAAAACACAAAAATTAGCTGGGTGTGGTGGAGCATGCCTGTAATCTCAGCTACTCGGGAGGCTGAGGGAGGAGAATCGCTTGAACCCAGGAGGCGGAGGTTGCCGTGAGCCGAGATGGCTCCACTGCACTCCAGCCTGGCGACAGAGCGAGACTCTGTCTAAAACAAAAAAAAAGGTGAAGTGGAGGGAGCAGGGAATAAGACATTCCAAGAGAGACTACGCAGGAATTTTTTTAAGCACGTAAGAGAAAAAGTTGTGGCTTGAATGGGGAAATGTCAAATCACTTAGTTTGGCTAGAAGTTAGGGTAAAGGGAAAAGATGGAAAAAAGGAGATCAGAAAGGTTAGCCATGGTTGAATCATAAGAAAAACCAGGATTCAGAAACAGGGTGACGATATAACCCAGTGTCTGCCTGTTGTCCAGTGGCAGTTCCTGTGTCCCATTCTGGACATTGTCTTTAGAAACAGCACTTGATAGAGGGTTTATAACACAGAGGTACAAAAAGTAGAAGATGGTATAAAACAAGAGGTATGTGTAACATGTTTCTGTCTTGGTGGATCAATGTTTAGTCTAAGTTAACTACCATTTATTAAGTGCCTGCCCTATTCTAGGCATTACAGCGGGCAGCCCTGAAAGTAGGTTAATACCTATATTTAACTAATTCAACAAATATTAACTTATACTGTGTAGTAGGCCATGGACAGGATGCTCAAAAGACTTCAGAGATGTTTCAGGTGTAGATCTTCTATCAAAGGGTCAGTAAATATTCCAGTGCAAGCTGGAATCTGGACCTGATGGAGGTGAAAGAGAGTAAAAAAGCCAAGAGTGTTTAAATGCAAACAAAAGTAGATGTATACTGTGCCTCTCCATTTACTGGTCACATGAGCTCGACTTGTGTCTAAACCATGTACCAGACAGTGTTTTCTGAGGATCATTTGAGATAACTTATTGACAATGTCAGTCCAGATTAGATGTTCCATCTGTGCAAATTTCCTTTCTCTAGAATCTGTTCGTGTAGCTTTACCAGGGTTAGTTCATGGATGGCTGATTTTTTTTTTTTTTCAGGTTTTTTTCTTTTTAGAGTACTAAGCTATACTCATAATATGCTTCTTATCAAAAAACATTAATTAGGTAGGAGTTTTTTAAAATACTGATCTGATGGCTAAGGGCCATTTAACACATCGCAAATACTGTGAGGCAGAAGTATCGCCCCTAATTGACTGAATATGGTCCTTCTCATGTTCCCCATTATTCCATTAATAGAATAATGGTCTTCCATTATTCTTGACAGGAAATAACATGGTTCCCACAAGCACTTAAAATACATTTCAATTAGGATGACACAGGTATAAGATTATACGGTCCTCTAAAGTAAGAGAAGGAAACCTGAGGTGAGTCCATCCTTGAACTTATTTTGCTTAGAGCACTATGAAAAAGTTATAGAAAGTTATAGGAAAGGAGCAAAAGAGTCAAATCTGAAATATTAGGTGGATCTTAGGCTTTTGAACTTGAACTTTTGGGCTTTGTTGCCTACACACTTGGTAGAACATTCTCTTTTGTGGAGAACTGGCTTCTAGTGTTAAAACCTTCTATGGAAGAGAAATCTGAGTAAGTTACATATCAAAGCCAGCATCTGAATTTGTAGAATTAAAATGTTTTTTTAAAAAAATCGCTTTTTCATTCAAATCTCGTATCTCACCTGATCAAGTTTCTTATCCTTTAAATATAAAGATTCTTACATCCCCTATATATATTTAAACTGATACATATTAGTTAGATATTGCATACTGTAAGGAAAGTATTTAATTCTAGATTTACACTGTTCTGGCTACATCTTTGCTCACAGAGATTCCATATCAAAGGGTAGAGCTCTTGTAATAATTTACTGTGCCTCAGTTTCTGGAACACGGACATAATGAATTCCTCTCCTTACAAGGTTATTCTAACAATGAATTAAAATAATGGCTATGGAAATATTTTAGAAAAGGCATAATGTATTATAAAAATGCAAAGCTGAGACCTATTTACTTCAGCATATATAAAATCCCCCCAAATAGGGTACATTTTGTTATTCTGAGAAGAGACCATTTCCTTCTGAATTTCTCCCTGTTTCTTCCTGACACCTGTGTTCTGAAATGCAGATTCTAGTGCAATTGGGCCTCAGAAAGAACTTGACCCTTTACAATGTGAAAGTCACCAAGTGCAATGATTCTAGCCAAAGTGACCCATTTTAAAAGATGACCCATTTCAAAACCCATGAGTTATTATTCAAGCTGTTCTATTTTTGAGAATTAGAAAGGTTTTTTTTTGTTTGTTTTTTACAATCTCACCATTTGAATGTCTTTTATTAAAAGAGAAAACTGATCTCCACTTTAATGAAATACAATATTTCATTTTCTACTTGATGGGGCCTGTACTTTATTTTGAAAATTCTTCTGCACCTCCTGAGTTTTCTCTGGGCACAGCAGTTATAAGCATCTCTACCTCCTACTCATCCTCATCTCCCACTTTCTCAGGAACAGCTGCTCTGAGCTTTGGCTTGGGCCTTTCCTGTGATAACACTGGTTCTACCTTAAGGTGCCACAGGGAGCCTTGCAGGGCGGGGAAGGGTCAGGCTGAGTCAGCCTCCTCCTCAGAGAGTGCTCAGTCAATGCTCAGAGCGTGTGCAGGAGGAGAAGGAAGAGAGAGAAGGACAAGCAGGTTAAGTACTGAATGGAAAACATTTCGGGTATTGCATTTAGCTTGCTTTAAAAGCAGAGTTGGTCCGAGAAAGCAGCTTTCACCTCCTCACTTGTGACCAGATAGAAAATCTACCACAAATTTCTGAGAAAGTTATAACATCAGCTGCTGATCACTAATCACCCTTTCAGAAAGTTCAGGTTGGGATCATTTCAGTGCCACCACTTAATACAACTACCTTCAATCTTCCTTTTCTGGGTCAACTTCAGCTTTTCACATTCCTCTCCCATCCCCCACAGGGACCAGGCAAGGTTTCCCAAAATAAAGGCACAGAGGAACAAATCCAATTCTGATGGATGTACTTTCATCAGATAATTACCATAAATATGAGCCTCAGGCCACCACCAGCCACTGTGCGGTTTCCACATCAGTGTCCCTTTAACAAGATCCGTAACCTAAGAAAACCCACACTGGCCAAGAATGTACAGGGTGTAGTCAAGAGCCGAGTTGAAAACTGTTACTTTTACCTATATGGTATCCAAGCAAGCAATTGCCTCTGTCACATCAGGATTCAAAATGAAATTAGGCAGAGTCAAAGGAAACAGCGGCCACGACCTCCCCGCCAGAAAGATCTACGGCTCCAGTCTCCCCGCCTGCCCACTTCCCTGTCCCCATTTCCCCCTGCCAGTAACTCGCCGAAAGCGTTACCAGGCTGGCGGTTTCCTCTTTCCAGCCCGACGCGGGCTGTCGACTCGAATTCAGCCCTGCCGCCGGAGGCGGGTGGCCGCAAGCCTGGGGCCCCCGGCCGGCAACTGAATTGGTGGGCGCGGCGTTCGCCTCGCGGCTCCCGCGCCCGGGCCGGTCCCGCCACCGAGGAGCCGGAGCTCCTCAGGGAATGGGACTGCGCCGGCCCCGGGAAGCCACCCCAACCCGAGCTGCCCGGCCCCCGAGCCTACCTGCCGCACCTGGGCGGCGGCCGGGCCTGGGTCCCAGCCGCTGGCCACCCGCGCGGGCAGGCCGGAGGGAACAAAGGCGCTCCGGGGAGGGGGCGAGCCTCCTTCCCCGCCGCGCTTTCGGAGGGCGGGCTGCCGGGGCCCGCGGTGGGAGAGGCCTCCCCGACTTCCCGGCGCTGGGCGGTGCGCGGTCCGGGCCAGGGCGGCGGGCCCCGAGCCCGTGTCCACGCCAGCCGCGCGCCCCCGGCCCGAGCGCGCGTTCCCACCTGAAGTCCTGGCGCCACGCGCCGGGCGAGGACCAGCGTGTCCTCACCTCCTAGCCACTCTTCCCCCCCGGAGACCTCGCTCGGTCCGGAGTGGGCAGACTCGGAGCCTCCCGCGCCGGAGACCGCGAACCGCTCGGCCGAGAAGGCGCGCCGGGCGGGGGCGGGGCGGAGGGGGCGGCCCGCAGCCCCAGTGCCGGGAGCCCGCGCGGGAGACCCAGGGAGCCCGCGCGGGAGACCCAGGAAGCCCAGCTCGGGGCCGCGGCACGGAGAACGAACCATCCGGGGCCTGGAGACGTATCCCGCTGAGCGGCCAGAACTTTCCCCATTTAGCGATCCGGAAGGGAAGTCAACATTCCCACCCAGAGAAGCCTCGGCCCGCGGAAAGATGCGGCCGCGGCACAGCAGTGTTTTCACCACGTAACTGACCACAGACTAACTCTGCGCGGAACCACCGGCCCGGGGCGCTCCGCCAAGAGGCGGGCTGTGTTGGCCTCGCGGGTCCTGAGCGCAGGGCACGCCGCGGTTCCTCCCACACAGGACACTGGTTCTGCCGCGCAGCGGATTAGGGTGGTCTTTTCGTTTCCGAGCGGGAGCTCTAAGGCAGGCTCTCAAGCGGGTCTTGTTAAAAGGTTTCTGGTCACACCACTTACGCCTGGAGCTCTGGGGGCCTCAGTAACAAAGGAAGGAAACTTACAGCAAACTAGGGCTGCACTGCTGCGATCCGTTTCTAAAATATGAGAGGAGGGGGAAACCCCGCCCCAGGCCAGCTTCCCAGTGACTTTACCTCCAAGTCTAGCTTCATTTCAAGGGCAGTTTAGAGCGAAATTCACCAAGTCCAAGCCCAGCTCTTTAAATGTCCAAATCTGAGGTCGGCTTTCCTTCTTGCATCGGAGCGAAAGTCGCTGGTCTCAAGAACAAAACTTGCGGGCTTTAAATCTTGGGCGAATACTGGACGGGCAGCGCTGGACTGGGCTCGCTTCCCCGGCGGGATGCGGGCTGGATGCGGGCGGAATGGGGGCCGGCCCGGGCGGGGGCGCTAGGCTCCTAGCTGTGCACCCCGCACCTCTCGGCGTCACGGCCCGAACCCGGCCCAGCCCGCCAGACCGCCACCCTCCCGACGCGTAGGTGAAGGTAATGGGCCCCGCCCCAGTTTGTACTTGTCTGTGGATGAGAATTCCAGGAAGTGTTTCCCTGCCGCTCTTCAGTTAATTGCGATCACTTACTCAGATGGCCAACTGGAAGCCAGAGTGCACATGAATGTCCTCTTTGAACTTCAGAATACTTCCTGCAGGTAACCAGACAATATCGAGAGATGCGGGCTTCTACTCAGGGAGAGAGATTATGAATGAATCCTGTATGCGCTTGGTTTCTTGTTCCCCGCATGTTGTTAGACCTCTCCCTAAAGCTACAAAACATTTAACGGAGATAATATTTTGAGCGATTCTGTTATTGTACGTATTTCAGAACATGATAGAAAAGCAAAAGATTAGTCCAAATACTTTAGTAAAATAAAAGCTTTGAGTTTGTCATAAGAGGAAGAAGACAGGTAATGAGTTAAATGTATGACTGTTGAATCAGGGTTTAAAACAGTGGGGCCAGCAGGCACGGTGGCTCACACTTGTAATCCCAGCACTTTGGGAGGCTGAGCCGCAGGAGGATTGCTTGATCCCAGGAGTTAGAGACCAGCCTGGCCAACACAGCAAGACCCCGTCTCTAAAAGAAAACACACACACACACAATGAAAACTGTAAACATTGTACTTGTTCATTCAAACTAGATTTTTAGAAAGTTTTTAAATTGCTTTCCTTAAGCCGGTCAGCATCTTTTAAATCATGCAGTTCTTTTCATATGCTACCTACAGAGGGCATGGCTCAGCACCTCCCAGACTGTGGCACTGCATGTATGTCAGACCATAGACAGAAATATTTACATATGTGATTTGCAAAGGAGTCACTGCCAGTGACCCACAAATAAGCTGATTCATTATTAATACAGCACTGATCACATACCTTCTGTAATAAAATGCTGACTAAAATCCCACATGCATTTCCCCCAGCCATCACAAGTGTATGTTGGATATCTGTGCAAATATTCAATTACAATTATATTCCTTTCAGATCATTTGGAACTAGGTCCATGTGTCAGGATACATATGTTCCACATACATGAGCACATAGAACTGTACCCACGAGAAATACAAACTGACCAAAACCGTGATAGACAGACATAAAAATCACATATTCATGTCATACTAGATACAGATAAACATACCAGATAGGTAAATGGTTTCAAAAGTGTGTCTGGAAATTGGAGATACAATGCAAGCTTTTTGGTGGTAGTAGGGAGAGATGAGAGGGTGTGAAGGAGAGATGGGCAAGGTCAAGTAGTCCCGAATGCCCACCCTGGGATCCACACAAGCTCAGGTCACACATGGGAGGGGACAGGGAAGTCCCCTTTGCTTGTTTGGAAAGATTTCCTAGAGCAGCATGGCTTCCTGTCCCACCCAGAGAGAGGGGAAGAGAATGACAGATTTGATGGTATTGATGATGTTATGCTCAGTTACTTTTATCAAGAGGGAGTACATGAAGATGTTGAGATGTGTTAGAAATAAACTTAGGTAATAATGATGCTGACTTGGCCATCAGGAAGAAGGAGGACCGTGTTGGCATGCTTTCCTTATCCAAGTAGCAGCTGGTAAGCAGAGAGCCCTGTGATTAGATCTATACATGACTTTGGAATGACCAAAATCTGCATGTTAGACTCAGCAGGGATAGATAAGGCACAGAAAGAGCAGAGGAGTAGCAGATTTAGGAAAGGGGGTCAGAGAGTAAGGCAATACATGCATCATCAGTAGTGGAGAGGGAAGACTAAACCTGAGTGCAAGAGAACCTGGGAGATGGTGGGAGCAACAGGGGCCCAAGGAAGAGGCTAGTGTTACTAAAATCATGAAAGGAGAAGCAGGTCTGATCACTGAGTGGCTTAACACAACTGAAGCATAGCAGCACAGTGTCAGGCTTGACCTGTTTTGCGAAATTTGTCTTTCCGGATTCTCTTAGACCAGATTTCCTCACAGGCCCTATAGGGAACCTGTCCTGTGAATTTGAACACAGCGCAGGCCATGTATTCTGAAGCGGGCCAGTGTTCATTCAAGGCCTGGGCTGTTAGAGAGACTCTGGCTGGATCCTGACCTGGCTTCCTACACAGGAGCTGGCAAGTTACCAAACTTCTCTGTGCCCACAGTAATGCCTGCCTGCAAGGGTGGGTGAGGATTAGTGCAATCATAGTGATGGGGGGAGTGCTGAGCTCAGAGCCTGGACCATCTCAATGGGGTGGATGAATGGTCGGCATCCTCGAGCCCACCACAGGCTGTAGAAAGCTCCTCTCACCTGGCAGAGGTGGGCTCATGCTGTGTCCTATCATCATGCTGTAAAGGATCTGCTGTGTTTCACACCTCTAGGAATTTCATTTCTGTTGATACAGCATCACCATTCAAACAACGCTCTATCTCCTTGGGTCCGCTTCCTCTTTCGCTGCCCACCGGCCATCTCCCACCACACGCAGCCTTTCTTGGTGTTCTTTTCTCTCCACACTTGCTCCTTGCTGATCTCACCCATTATCTTTAATCTTGACTTACATTTCTTTCTTTCTTATTTTTTTTTCTTTTTTTGAAACTAAGTCTCACTCTGTCATCCAGGCTGGAGTGCTGTGGCACGATCTCAGTTCACTGCAACCTCTGCCTCCCAGGTTCAAGTGACTCTCCTGCCTTAGCCTCCCGAGTAGCTGGGATTACAGTTGTGTGCCACCACACCTGGCTAATTTTTTGTATTTTTGGTAGAGATGGGGTTTCACCATGTTGGCCAGGCTGGTCTCGAACTCCTGATTTCAAGTGATCCGCCTGCTTCAGCTTCCCAAAGTGCTGGGAGTACAGGCATGAGCCACCACTCCCAGCCCACCCTGATTTATATTTCTAACCCAGATTCTCAGCTTCAAACTTAAGTGTCTTTGGGTATGTCACATCAATCTTCAGCTTAATATGTCTAAAATGGGATGTGTAAATACGGGATTGGGAAATGGTTAATGGACAGGACTTGAATGCCCCGAAAGCCAGAATCCTCCTTCTTCTCACCAGTGACCCAGCCCAGGGTGTTATGTGTCAGTAACAGTCGGCAGTATTTTGTCACTGTATAAGTTATGTCTTTTGCCTCAACTGGCTGCGGGGAGGGGAAAAAAGTTGTATGTCTGTTTTGCCAACTACTTTGAAAGTCTTCAGATCTCTTGTGGGTGAACGCCATGTCCTGCTCTTCTCTGAGTCCCTCAAAGACCCCCCCCCATCTCCTTGCCACTCCCACAACAATGCCTATCACAGAATGAATGCCTGGTAACTGCAGGTTGAATTGAATTTTTGCATAGCACTTCCACACTCATCAGTTATTCAAACTTCTGTTCCAAGAATCCCATCCGTAGTACAGTGACCCTATGTACTTCTCCTTTGATGCCACCAAGGCCCAAAAGCTGACCCTGGAGGCACACTAGCTCTTTCCTGCAGTTCTTGCTACTGCTTCTGTGGCCTGGCGCCCTTCAGCAACCTCCCTCAATTCCCGGGCCTCTGCAGTTTGATGAAATCGTACTAGGTACACCCAGAACTGGAAGATAAAGCAAACTGACAGCACAAGGAGGCACTCACCTGCAGGCCATTCTGAGAACCCAGTTTCTTCCATTTTCTTCTCCTCTGCTTGAGGGAGGGGTCTCCTGGGACTGATCAGCTCCTTCACACCAACACATAAGGAAATCTCTTATGTGCCGTCTAACACTCAGTGGGACCTCTCAGACACAGGGACAGGGATAGTCTTGGAGGGGCAGGCCCTGCTGGCTGGGACCCTCCCTGGTCCAGTAGAGCTGTGCTGTCAACCCTCCGACAGCCCCTGTGAAAATGGCCTGATACCAGTCCCTGGCAGTGAGTCTGTCAGCATGTCTTCTCCTTTTCCCAGCAGCAGATCAGACACACGCTCCACACTCCCGGGAGCATACAGGGTTCTGTGCAGGTTCCAGAGGGCTGCCTCTAACTCAGCTCTTTCTCTCCTACTCAGGAGGGCACATGCAAATTGAGTGAGGGAGTGACATTTTTGTGGGAACAATCTTGAGTGCTGATTAACACATATTTTAAAAGACAGTTGGCACTTAGTCTAGTCACAGCTATCTAAACTGAGCAAAACAATTTGCATCCTGTGATGGGGTGGTACAGGGGGACAGAAGACCATTACAACCCCTAGAAATGGTTATTGACAACAAGACGGGGGGCTACATGGCTGGCCCAGAGGCAATCATTTGTGTTGGGAATTTTGCACTTAGGTTTGGTTGTACTAATATTTAAGGAACAACTAAAATGTAATTTTCTTTTTAAAAAAATATACATTTTTTTCTGAGACAGGGTCTCACTCTGTTGCTCAGGCTGGAATGCAATGGCTGGTCACGGCTCACTACAAGCTTGACCTTCTAGGCTCAAGCAATCTTCCTGCCTCAGCCTCCTGAGAATGGGGACTACAGGTGCACATCATCACACCCAGCTAATTTTTTTATTTTTAGTAGAAATGGAATTGCTCACTATGTTGCCCGGGCTGGTCTTGAATTCCTGGGCTTAAGCGATCCACCCACCTCTGCCTGCCAAAGTGTTAGGATTACAGGTGTGAGCCACTGCACCAGGTCTAAAATGTAATTTACCATTTCCCATTTTTAAATACTTAGTAATTACTAAGTGCTAATTTCCTGCTTTACAGAGAGTACGTGGTTCAAATCCCACTCAACCAATTTCCAAAAGGCAGTTAAAAGTCTTCCTAGGGTTTACATTGAGTAGTCTTTAATATAAGTAGACTATTAGATAAAACTTGCTATGCTGGGATTTTCCTTATAGCAGTACTTCTAAAAAGACAATTCTAAAGTCCATGATAAATTCATGTGATCTGAAACCATATACATTTCATGAATCAGTCTTGGTGGTCTGATGGTCCAAAGTTGTAAAGCCCAATATTAATACCTAATTGGCCCTGCAGATTTAGGGCTAAGGACTCCTAGGAAAGATTTCTAGGATTCCTCTGAGAGGAATTCCTCTGAGAGAGATGTTGGCATCATACTTAATAAATAAGTAAACCCTCTTGGGAAAAACAGGGATCTATTAGAGTAATAGAATATCTGCTGCTAGATAAAGACGCAAATAGATCTGCGTCTTTTTGCACAGGGGCAAAAAGAGGCACAGGGGAGGGAAAAAGGGGCACAGGGCAGGGAAAGTAGCATGTGTCTTCTCAACATTTTCGGCTCTTTGACTGTTTCATAGGCATGCTTTTTATCTTTGGGAATTTCCTTTTTGCAAGAGATTTCCTTTTGTTTTCATGAGGTAGAAGCTCTGGGTGCAGTTGACCCTTGGTATCCATGGGGAATTGGTTCTGGGACCCTTGTAAATAACAAAGTCCACAGATGCCCAAGTCTCTTATGTAAAATGGTGTAGTATTCGCATATAACCTATGCACAGTCTCCCATATACTTTAAATAATCTCTGGATTACTTATAATACCTAATATAATATAAATACTATGTAAATAATTGTTATACTGTATTGTTTTTAAAATTTGTATTATTTTAATTTATTTATTAATAT